CCAAGAAGAAGAAGAAGAAGAAGAAGAAGAAGAAGAAGAAGAAGAAGAAGAAGAAGAAGAAGAAGAAGAAGAAGAAGAAGAAGAAGAAGAAGAAGAAGAGAGGGGGTGAGGATGAGGGTGAAAGAGTAGTAGGGGACTTTGCATTGTATTTCCTGAAACCGACAAAGCTCCCAACAACAATAAAACCAGTGAGTGATCAAAAGGAAACAGGCTTTTTCTTCCTCCTGATTCGAATGTCTGGTTGTTTATATTACACATCCCTGGCGTTCTCCCACCGAGCTCCGGGCTAAATTTAATCAAGGTTTTCTATTTTTACGCTGTGGATCCACTTCTGTTTTCAATGTTGTTCGTTGCTCGTGGACCGCGATCTAATCTCATGAGGTAACGCCCAAGCTGATGAGAATTGTGATGACTTCCTTGAAAAAGAAAACTGTCTGTCCAAAGAAATCGAAAGCGAATGTCAGTTATTCGATTGCACTAAACACCAGTACTAGATCTATATTATATGAGTGTACTGTCTTTTTAAAGAAGCAAAGGTTATTTCAGAGGCTGGACCTACTCTTCTTAACTCTTTCAACGCACTGTTTTGGGGCATTTTAAAAAAGAAGCATAAATTTGCTATCACACAGATTGTTTTTCAGTTCTATTCTCTTAGCCTAAAACTTTAAAAAGTAAACAACAACTTTATGCCATCAAATGTGCCGCAACATCGCCTTAAGTTTGCCGCAGATCGGACATACGTGTCAGCTACACCCAAAGAACAGTTCTTTTCACGATATGGCATGTTAGTAGGCAGATACATGTGAATATAAATTAAACAACCAAAAAATGTCAAAGTGGATATATGAACTAAGGTCGCTTCATCGCAGCCTTCAGCCTCCAGTTTAATGAGAATACATGAAAGAAGGTAAGAGTCACATCTCAAAGATAGCAGCGCCCGCATTATATACAGCTTCGTCTTCTGCTTAGCATTGAGTATTCTTTAGGAATACTTTCACCTTATATGTGTCTCCTCCAATTCCAAACTCACCTGCGCACGTGCAAGCACACATACATGCACATCCTCGC